GACCTTTAAAACTCTAAATGGTTCCAGCCCAGCTTACCTGTCTGAGCATATCTTCCTCTACGAACCCCCAAGGACCTTAAGGTCATCTGGAGATGCCCTGCTCTTGGTCTCACCACCATTGCAAGCATGCTTGGTGAGACTTTCTTACTTACTTACTTACTTACTTACTTACTTACTTAGGTGATCCCTCGTTGGCCGAGTAGGATAGTCTTCCAGGATCAGTGTTCTGGTGGGTCCGTAGGTGGCTCTTGATCCGCATCTTCTCCCACAGTGAGGGCATTGGTTTCCAGGTGGAAGGTGGTCTCGGTCGGGGTTGGCTTGATGCGCCTTCCTCTTGGCACATTTCTCTCTTTCACCCTCCATTCGTGCCTCTTCAAATTCTGCAGCACTGCTTGTCACAGCTGACCTCCAGCTGGAGCGCTCAAGGGCCAGGGCTTCCCAGTTCTCAGTGTCTATGCCAGAGTTTTTAAGGTTGGCTTTGAGCCCATCTTTAAATCTCTTTTTCTGTCCACCAACATTCTGTTTTCCATTCTTGAGTTCAGAGTAGAGCAGCTGCTTTGGGAGACAGTGGTCGGGCATCTGGACAAGGTGGCTGGTTCAGCGAAGTTGATGTCGGAGGACCATCGTTTCAGTCAAGGACCTTAATATCATCCGGGGAGGCCCAGCTCTCAATCCCATCGCCATCGTAGTCGCGTTTGGTGGGGACGAGAGACAGGGCCTTCTCCGTGGTGGCCCTTCAACTGTGGAACTCCCTCTCTAATGATGTCAGATCTGCCCCCTCCCTCCTGACCTTCCGGAAGAAACTTAAATCCTTGGTTATGGGATCAAGCATTCACAGAATAGATGGTTTTAAATTTCCACACAAGAAGAAACAGAAAGAGTATTTTTGTAGGGCCCATTGCCCCAGCAACGTATCTTTTATGTCCTGTTTCAGCAGTAATATCATCTGCTGCTCTTCTAGCTACTTGTGCTAATATTTTATTCAACTGATATGCCATGTGTTCAAGGCCATAGTCAGCTTATGCTATTCTAGTGCTGCTGAAGGTGTTGGTCTCAATGATATCAGCACCAGACATCAAGTATTCCTTGTGAATTTTGTAGATTATATCAGGTTGCATAACACTCAACAGATCATTGTTTCCTTTTAGTGGTTTCAAATGATCCTTAAATTCCTGTCCCTGGAAATCTTCTTCTGTCAAAGTATATTGCTGGATCATGGCCCTCATACCTCCATCCAAAACCATAATGCGCTCTCGCAAAATGGATTCATTTTCATTTTTCAGGGTTTTCTTCGTAGTGTTCTCCACGGAGCTGCTCCTCCGCTCCGTTCTACCTGGGGTCGTGGGCAACATCGTGCCACGAGTGGGAGGCTAGGGCTCCCAAAAGGAGGCTGGTTTTTAATTGTCATTTTAGCTGACAGCAATGGATTGATTTAGAAGATGATGTGAAATGGCAAACTATTTTAATGTATCTATAATTGTTTTCATGTAGGTTAATTGTATATTATGCTTGTTTTATTGTTTGGCACCGAATGGTGCCTGTTGGTAGCCATCCTTAGTCCCTCTTCGGAGGCGAGAAGGACGGGATAGAAATGCTCCTAATAAATAAATAATAAATAATATTTCCTCAGACATGTAAAGCTTGGAGTTTTGATTAACATCCAAACCTTTCTTGCACATGTTTTGGATTGGTTGGTAAACCTTATGATTATTTCTCCCCTTTCTTCTTTCTTTTAGAAAACTGATACTTTTAGCACAAAATACTTTGGGAATTGAAGATATTCCCAATCATTTGTTGTTATTGCTTCATTCAAGCCATAAGCAAAACCAGAGCTGGGTATGTTTTGCTTGAAGGAGAGAAGTTTGAGAGGAGACAAGTGAGCCATGTTTAAATATTGGCTGTCATAAGGAAGTGGAAGGGGGTTTGTTTTCTGCTGCCCTTGAAACCAGGACTCGGAACAATGGGTTCAAATGACAGGAAAGGAGGTTCCACCTGAACATTAGGAAGAACTTCCTGACTGTGAGAAGAGCTGTCAATCAATAGAACTCTCTGCCTCGAAATGTGGAGGAAGCTATTTCTTTGGAGGCCTTTAAACAGACTGTTGCACTTCAGTCTGGAAGCACCTATGACCATTGCACCACACAAGAGTCCAGAAATATAAGCAAACACTTTATTGTAAACCACATAAAATGCATATCATAAAGCAGGAATAAGAAAGGAAGATATATAATCCAAAAAGGTTTAGCAACAAGTGATAACCAAACAATAATCCAAATGTCTCATAAAGTTCCAGAGGTTCAGGAACAGCCAGAAATAACAGGTACAGCTGAAGTCCATAAGCACAAAGGTATAACTAGTAAAACTTGAACAGGAGTACATGAACAGAAACGTGGAAGACTTCTAGGATTAAAATCCAAAATCAAGGCTTGACTTGAACCAATAACAAGAGAACTCAGGCTTAGCTTCTCACTTTAAATGCAGCATTGTCTGAACTCATGGTGTCGTGTCAGGAGCGACTTGAGAAACTGCAAGTCGCTTCTGGTGTGAGAAAATTGGCCTTCTGCAAGGATGTTGCCTAGGGGGATGCCCCGGATGTTTTGATGTTTTTACCATCCTTGTGGGAGGCTTCTCTCATGTCCCCGCATGGAGCTGGAGCTGATAGAGGGAGCTCATCCGCACTCTCCCTGGATTCGAACCTGTGACCTGTCGGTCTTCAGTCCTGCCAGCACAGGGGTCTGAACTGACTTTAAGGTAAATAGCCACAAATGGTTCCGGCCCAGTTTAAAGTATCTCTCCTTCCCACATACACACACAAACAGTCTAGCACCTTAAGAGCCGTAGCAAACTACTGGAAGCGAGAGCGAGCTTGTGCTCGAGCTCGCTCCGAAGCCCCGCCTTTTTTCCCCGAGGCTGCTCTCTCTCTTGCTAGTGTGCCTGTTTTCCCTTGCTAGGGAAGCGATGCGAGTGTACTCTCGCAGTTGGCAGAATTCAACTGTGAGTGTACGCTCGCATCCCTGCCCTCTGCAATGGAAAACAGGCACGCTAGCAAGAGAGAGAGCAGCCTCGGGGAAAAAAAAGGTGGGGCTTCGGAGCAAGCCCGAGCGCAAGTTTCCTGTAGTTTGCTGCGGCCCGAGCGTATGCTCGCAACGCTGCCCTAGCAAAAGGAAATAGGCGGAGAAAGAGGCGGAGCATCGCTCGTGCTGGCTTAGTTTGCTCTCGCAAAATCCTAGTTTGCTACGGCTCTAAGATCATCCGGGAGGCCCTGCTCTCGGTCCCATCACCATCGCAGTCACATTTGGTGGAGATGAGAGATAGGGCCTTCTCCGTGGTGGCCCCTCGGCTGTGGGACTCCCTCCCCAGTGAGGTTAGAACTGTCCCCTCCCTGCTGACCTTTCGGAAGAAGTTTAAATCCTGGTTACGGGATCAAACGTTCACAGAATAGTTTGTTTACTGGAAAAGTCAAGATTTATTGGACCGGACTTGAACTGCTTTGGATGATGATTTTAATTCTGGTGATTTTAATCTGGTGAGCAGGTTCTTAAGGCATATTTAGAATTATTTTAATTCTGTGGATGTATTTATTATGTTTTATATTATTTTGGCAGCAAATTGTTGCCTGTTTGGAAGCCGTTCTGATTTCCTCCACAGAGGTCTAGAAGGATGGGGTATAAATATTTTAAATAAATAAAAAATAAATAAAAAGAAAGCATTATATCTGCCACAAACTTTTTCCACAGCTTTCTCGTGTAATCTTTCATCCTGAGGTACTCTATTTTTGGTTCTGATTTGTAAATGAAGATTTTTGTTAATTTCTATAGCTCTTCACCTGATGCCTTATCTGACTCCTCAAACTTGAGGCCTTGCACTTCCTAAGCCAGCTTTCTCACAGAGAGAAACATCATTTTCCAGGCCTGAATTTCCCAGATTGAGCCCGCATCACTTTGTGCCACAGGAAAGCCCACAATCCCCTCTAAATCATCAGTGAAACCACCAGCCTCTGGCTGAACTATAATAGAGACTGGATGGCCATCAGTCAGAGGTGCTTTGATTGTGCTTTTCCTACATGGCGAGGTTTGGACTCTATTAGGGTCTCTTCCAACTCTATTATTCTATGACTCATTATGATTAGTTTGGGCAAAGATGGGTAGGTTCCCTTGTAAATGGATGAGATGGGCTTGGATTGGGGAGAAGTTCCATTCATTCCCAGATGCACCATTCAAGGAAGGAAGGAATATAAGCAAGGATGGAATTATCAGAAGGAAGGAGTTCCAGTAAAGCCTTCCTAAATTCCCCAACTCTACCTCAGTCTGAATGTGATTTACATCAGACTACGGTCTGAGAATGTTTCAGTAAACCAGTGAGTCTCCTCTGGGTTATAAAGGGCTTTCCCCAAATCTTTTTTGGGGGGAAAGGGTTCAGCACCTTGGACAGGAGCAGACTAAAACTCAGAGCAGAATCACTAAGAGGCCTGTCTTGTGAGGATGTCTCAAAAGAGGAAATACATGATGGGAAAGAAGGCAGTAGATGGGTCAGATTTGCATAACGTTTTCATATGCTATTTGTATGCACAGAAAGACATTGAAAAATTACCCGCAGTCACTTTTTGAAAAGAGTATCTGAGTAATTTGAGAAGAAATAGAGTAAGTCCTCAACTTTCGTGGCGGCTAGGGACACAGAACTACCGCGAAAATGAGAAATAAACATCTCCAAACTGAGTATAGCAAATTATTCCTGGAAGCTGACTATTGAAACACACTATTGAATCCCAAGATTCCTAGAGAATCATTATTTCTTGAAATCTCTCCAACAAGACGGTATGGTCACCTTTTGACCAAAGGCCAGAGAGTTGCCCTGGAAGAATCATAGAATCATAGAATCAAAGAGTTGGAAGAGACCTCCTGGGCCATCCAGTCCAACCCCCTGCCAAGAAGCAGGAAATTGCATTCAAATCACCCCAGACAGATGGCTATCCAGTCTCTGTTTAAAAGCTTCCTAATAGACATTCCTAAAGAGAACATGTTAATCCAATCCATTAACTGCTATTCCTCAATGCTATAGGTTCCTGGGATTTGTAGTTTGGTGAACCACCAGCAGTCTTTGGTAGAGAAGACTAAAGATCTTGCATACCTACAACTCCCATAACTCCATAGCATTGAGTCACGGCAGTTATGGTGTATTAATTGCACAGCGTGAATGCATCCAAGGACATAAGTGGTTATGCTGGCTGGGGATTCTAGGAGCTGTAGTGCCAAAAAGCATTCTTCCTTCCTCCATGATCTGAATCTGCCCTATTCACACACATAATACAGCTTATGCCCACAACACTCATTCTCCCATTTTACTCCATCTTCAGTGCCTACACCTGCCCCGCAATTTCCCCATATGGGATCATTTGGTTCTCCTTCTCCCCATTTCTGAGAGTCTTCCTCCATAGGGCTGTCATCATCCCAAACCCAGTAGCCCCACAACCCATGGCGATGCAACCCCAACCAAGCTTTCAAACCCTCCTGGAGTTCAACTCTCTCAGCCAGAATACGACCTTGGGCCCGACAGGCATTACGAGCTTCAAACCAAGTGCAATTCTCCTGGATGACGATGGGGCTTTTGTTTCTGGTGGGTGGCACTAAAAAGAAAGAGAGGAAGGGTTAAAGCTGTTAGGAACACCCTTCAGGCCCTTCCACATAGCCATATAACCCAGAATATCAAGGCAGATAATCCACAACATCTGATTTGAACTGGATTATTTACAGCTGTGTGGAAGGAACTTTGATCCCCTTCATTCCCTTCCAGATGAAAGGTGCATCTATGCTATAGGATAAATGCAGTGACACCATTTTAACTTCCATGGATCAATGCTATGGAATCATAGGATTTATACTATGGTAAAGCACCAGCACTCTTTGTCAGCTGAGGGTAAAATCCTTGGAAAAATACAGATATGATTCCATGGCAGTTAAAGTGGTGTCAAACTGCATTTATTCAACAATGTAGATGCAGAGAGTAATGTGCCGCAGGATCACTTGCAATGATAAATAGAAAATATGCAAAAAAAAGAGGAGGATTTATGGGAAAGATAGGAGAAATAAATAGGAGAAATAAATAAATAAGGAAGTAAGTCCTCCATATCCGCGGAGCATAGGTTCCTGTCTGGACTGCAGTTACATGGATCTGCAGATGCTACCAAATTCTGCTAAGCAATGGAATTGTGTTCTAGGACTTAGCAGATTGCTAAGAAGCTATCCTCTCTAGGAATTTGCTTGGTCCTCTAAGGTACATGTTTCAAAGTCAAGGCCCATGGGCCAAATCTAGCCCTCCATATCGTGTCATGTGGCTCTCCAGATGCTGGACTCCATCTCCTGTATTTCTCATCATTAAACATCATGACTAGAGCTGATGGGAGTTAGGATACAGTAACATCTGGAAGGCTGCAGATATTGTTCTGTTTCATCAGGAGTGTGGGTTTGGATATAGATTGTGAACAGGATGTCTGACTTTAAAAGGTCCTTTAACCAGGGCCTTCTCGGTGGTGGCCCCCTAGCTTTGGAACTCCCTCCCCAGGGGGATTAGACAGGCTCCTACTTTGTCCACCTTCTGGAGGGAGTTAAAAACCTAGATGTTCCATTGTGCTTTCAATAAGGCAGTTTTCACTGGAGACCAATTTCGATCCTATTCTAAGTCCTGCACTTTATTATGGCCCTCCTATTGGCTTATTATGACATTTTTCTCTAAGGATATTCCTATCCTTAAATATTTGAACCTTGCACTTTCTATTGGTCCCATTTAAGAAGCTTTGCACTTACTTGTACCTGAACCCAACATCTTCTTTAGCTCAGACATAAGATTGTTTTACGATGATGTTGGTTACTGTGTTATGTTCTTACTTGATTGATTTTATTGTGTTTTGTTTCTCTCTGTATTCAGGCTTGTCCCTTCATAAGCCACCCCAAGTCCCCTTGGGGAGATGGTGGCGGGGTATAAAATTAAGTTATTGTTATTATATTATTTTCTCAGAGCCACTAGTGCTATTAGGTTGCAGTTCCCATTATCCCAGGTCTGCATGGCAGATAATATAAAATAATGGAAGTTGTCATTCAATAACATCTGAGGAACCAAACTGGATAAAAACTAAAGAGCACAGACCACTATGTAAAGAAATTATAGTTGGCCCTCTGTATCCACGGATTCTCTATCTATGGATTCAACTGCTCTTTGCAAGCAACCATAAGGCTGATGTGGCCCTTGATAAAAATGAGATTGGCACTCCTGATCATGTGCCATGGAGTCCTCTGTCAAGAGGAGAAGAAGGTATTTAACAGAAGACCAGCTTGTCATAAAGGAGCAAGGTGACTGTGTTCTATGTAATCAGTCCTCTACATTCACTGAGGTCAGGGGCACCGGACCCCTATGAAGCTGAAAAACAGCAAATAACAAAATTGCTATTTTTTAAAAAATTGAGAAAACACGCTTCTAGAAATTTTTCAATCTTCCAATGTGACTGCAAGTCCCATTGGAAACTGAGCACAGAATTGCACTGGAGGACATAGGTATTCCAGGCCCTCTAGCATCATAACTAGAGCTGATGCTCGTTATAATGTTAGAGGACACTGACAATCCATTGGCTAGAGAACATTGACCATCCATTCACATTGGAGGACCAAGAGATTCTCAGAACATTTCAATCAGATAAGTGCAAAAGTAGAGGGACAACTGTATAATTAGGAGTTTGCTTTTTTATATATAGTGAGTTAAAGGTTTTCCCCTGACATTAAGTCCAGTCATGTCCAACTCTGGGGGTTGGTGCTCATTTCTAAGCCAAAGAGCTGGCGTTGTCCGTAGACACCTCCAAGGTCATGTGGATGGCATGACTGCATGGAGTGCGATTACCTTCCCGTCTGAGTGGTACCTATTGATCTACTCACATTTGCATGTTTTTGAACTGCTAGGTTGGCAGAAGCTGAGGTTAACAGTGGGAGCTCATACCACTCTTTGGTTTGCAAGTTCAGCATCTCGGCACTTTAACCCACTGCACCACTGGGGCCTCCTTTTCTATATATAGCTGGCCACAAATCTTTCCAAAGGCAGAGGGAAATGTTGGATTATAGACTTTAACATAACACATCCAAGATATACCTTCTGTCAAAACTGTAGGGGGGAAAGTTGGCATCTCCTTTTGGCCGGTGTCTTGTTCAGATCTGCTGTAGGCGGAAGAGAGATCTTCAGTTGTAGGCTGAGAATGCAAGCCTTGCCCATCAGTAGTTGCAGTGACGTATCCTATGGAAAGAAATTATATGACAGGGAGTTAGCGCTGATACACTGTATTCTATGACTATTTTGGATGGGAACACTGCATCGCAACATTCAAAGAAAGACAAAACCTGAAAGACTGTTGCATTCGGGACATGTGAATTATGTTGGTACTTAAATCAATGTGTGTTGTATAAGTAATGGCAACTTAGAGTCAAAGAAATCTATTATTATGCTTCTTATTCATTGTATTGTCGAAGGCTTTCATGGCTGGAATCACTAGGTTCTTGTGGGTTTTTTCGGGCTATAGCCATGTTCTAGAGGCATTTCTCCTGACGTTTCGCCTGCATCTATGGCAAGCATCCTCAGAGGTAGTGAGGATATTCATATTCTTATTTCCATTTTTTTAATTGTGTCAGAAGCAACTTGAGAAACTGCAAGTCGCTTCTGGTGTGAGAAAATGATGTGTTACTATCCTGTGGGAGCCCTCACATGGGAAGCTAGAGCTGACAAATAGGAGCTCAACCCATCTTGCAGATTCGAACTACCGACCTTCAGGTCACCAGTTCACCTGGCACAAGAATTTAACGCATTGAGCTGTGGCCCCTATTATTTCCAAATAGGGAGTTACAGTCTTCACATAGCTTCACTGAATCTGCTCTGGATTTGAGTCTGAACTTTGAAGGGGACATCAAAAGTGCTGAATCCTTCCTTCAGATTCAGTCCAGCTCCTTTGTAGGAAGTTCAGAGTAAATCCCAGGATGGACTCACTGTCCCACTGACATACGATGTATCTACACTAAATTAATACAGTTTGACACCACTTACCTGCCATAGCTGAATGCTATAAAATCCTGCAAGGCACCAGCACCTTTTGCCAGAGAAAGCTGTGAACCTACAACTCCCACAATCTCATAGCATTGAGCCATGGAAGTTAAAAGTGATATCAAACTTCACTAATTCTACTGCGTAGATGCGCTCTTAGAATCTACCAGACCAGTCATTAGGGAATGTTGTATGGCAAAATCTGCCTCTGGGAATGCTTTGCCTTTCTGTTTGGTCATCCCATCCTGTGCTCCTTTTATCCCAGTAGACACCAGCAGCTGCCATTGTAGGTGAGGAAGAGTATATTTGCTCTGTTTAAGTGTTTTTCCTGACAATGACTTCAGACTGCACCAGGAAGCACAAAATGAGACAGATATTATATCTCCCAGTGAGGAAATCAGACTTTTTTTCTGGCCTGTGATCAAACACTTTGTCAAAGATTCCAAACTCTGTGTTGCAATCCTAGAAAACTCAACCTGTGCTGACGATTTCTCTGCAGCTACTAAATATTTTCCCCTTCCAATCACATTTAGATGTGACATGGCACTTGGGGTCACGTACAAACACACCAAATCTGTCCAGAGAAGCATTTGGAGCAGCCTACAATCCACTTCCATTCAGATGTGTTGGAGTTACATTCTCCATCACTGCCCCACTATGTTTAAAACATAAGATATTGGCATGATTCTGGGCTTGGAGATCAAGGGTGGATCTACACTGTAGAACAGT